CGGAGCGGATCTTTGAAAAACTTTTCTTTCTCAAGTAACCGAAACGTAGCTTGAGCTACAACTTTTCACACTAAAGCACAAGTTTCAAAATCCTTCGGCTGCCCTTTTATCCCTCAAATTTTTACCACGGAACTGTGCAGAATACTTTCCCTTTTAAAGTAATCTAAAGTCTGATGGTGGAACGTTAAGTTTATACTCCATAGAGAGCTACTGTATCTTTTCTTGAAAACAAATTTTATCATTTCCAGTGTAGAAAATTACCACTCAGCATAGTGATTTTTGCCGATTTATGGAATAAAAGAAAATCGTTGTTCAATGTTGATAAGGAAACTTTGTGCCTAAGAGAAGTTTAAATATTCATTTTTATTCCTTTCGTATCTTGTGTATGCAATGCTGAAGCAAGAATCCATAGCATCTTCCAAACAAGACATATAAGATAAAGAAAATGGTAATGAGATAAACTTTTGATCAGGGAAATTATAAGACCATGATCGAGATTGAGAAATAGTATCAGGATATATTTAGAATATTCTAGCCAGTTTCCTGAACAAAATGTTAACCCACAACATCATTGATTTAACAAATCTGACAATTGTTAAGAAAAGGTATTAATGTCTGGTAAAATGCTGCCTGGAATACCACAGAGAGTAATAAATTTTGTTTATTGATTTATTAAGGCAGTATAACGACAAAGTAACGTTGGTGTAATAAATATAGATAATGCTTATGAATACACAATAAATCAGATTTAGCCCCCCCCGAAAACTGTTAAAGGATTTTAAGAAAATAAAACAAGTAATTTGATTGACTAGACTTAAATAAGTGAAAGTTTAATCTTTGTTTAAAATAAATTTGCATTATATTATTTATATACAGATTGGTTCAAATTTCTTTACAACTAACACAATTTGACAGCTAATCTATCATAATATTTAAAGCATATCATCATTCAAATGAATGGAGTTATAATGTTTTAATACTTAAAAATGGAAATTGTAAGAAATATTTCTTACGTAAGACACTTAGTTTCAAAACTGCTCGCAATTTATTTCAATATTAAGCAAAATATTTAAACGTGAATAAGTTTCCAGTTTATGTAGTTCAAATTTAACGATAAGAGTTATAAGAACTTTTCTCAAAAGTCTGAATCATGGTATAAGTCAATTAGTAACCTTAATTACTTGCAATTAAATAAATATATGCAAAGCAGAGTTATTTCAGATATGATAACCATTTATATAAAGAAACTTATGCGATGCCTATCATTTTCAAGTAGATAAATCTTACAAGGAATTTATATATTCTGAAAAGATATGCAAGATGATTTAAAAAATAACTTTATTGCTATGAAGTAAAGAGACAGAATCCAAAAAAAGTATTAGAATTTATACCACGTACAAGAATGACATTTAGGACGCTATGAATACTAGTGTTCTTAAATATAAAATATTTATTAAAATGAAAGAATACTCTCTCCTTAATTCCATTCTACGTTAACTTTTATTTTTGCATTACACTAATGTCCAGTTTGAATCAGAAATTTAAATTTTTGTGCGCTCTCTTTTGATTTAGAGACAAATATAACATGAACCAAACGTACGTTACTTGAAATAAAGTACATTTCTATTTCGTTGATGTACAGGAATACTCTGAAGCTACAGTCTGAAGGATTATAGAAAAATATTTATTTTTTACGATAACAAATATTTCTCTATAATTCTGCAGATATGGGAAGTAAAATCTTTCAATTATACCCTTATACTATTGCAAAATAAATGGAATTTATTTCAAACAAATTAATGTAGTTCACTTTTAGCTGTTAATGGAAAAAATGCGTTCCTTGTGAAATACTCCAAACGATTTAGGATCTGAATATGCTAACACACATAGATACAAGGTATACTAAACGCACTAGAGCAAAGATAAAAGAAAATTCTGTGAGTTCCATAACCTAATAGTAAAACACGGTATGGTTAATTAAGCTTAATTAGTAAGAATATTCGTTAATCACGAATCTCAGGTCAAATGTTCTGTAAAAAATGAAGTCTTTGGTAGCTTTTTAAAAAAATAAAGCAATCCATAATTTAGATTATATATGTTCTGTTTCTGGCATAATATATATTTAAGGAAATATATTCAGATGATATTTTTCCCGAGTATGTTAGATTTTTAAGTGTTGAATTCAGTCCTGCTATATATTTTCCATTCAGTCTATTAAGGGAACGGTGGACTTTAAAATAGCTAAAAATCAACCAAAATATTGAATTTGTTTGTGCTCTCATAATATTCCATATACAAAACTATATCGTATGCAAATTATTTGTATATTTGCCCAAAAGAAGTGTTTATTTCTAAACAAAGGGCTAGAAATGTCAGTATTGACAACTATTAATGAATTTAACATTGGTTAGGTGAATGCTATATGCGTAGAACAGGAAGAAACAAACTCGTTTTCCCTACTCGTTGCACAAAAGCGTGATCAACGGTGCTTGAACCAAAGCAAAAGGAGGAGTTTACCTGCTTGGAAAAAACAGAAATAGTAAAAAGTATTGTAAAGCATTAAAAGATAATGTAAATCTAACAAATGAAGGTAAATCATATGATGCGAGTGAATTTAAAAATTGCATTGGATATTATGCATAAATTGTTTCTACCTCCAACTTCGAATCACATACCAATTTGCGATATGTTTATTTTTCTCCTGTTTAATATTATGAGATTAAAAATGGTTAAATGATACGAAAATGTTATCTAGTGTCTTCATATTCATATTTAAAGTTAAAAGTTAATTTGCTGTTTTCATGACCATGTATTAAAAGTAAGTTTGAAGAAAATCTTTAATTTCGGTTTTCTCAAAACAAAATTTTTCGCAGTTCGTATCTCTTGAAAATGCTCCATGCGTCTCATTTTTAGTTAAAAATGAATGATATTTGGAAGACATTATCCTGTTATATGATATAGTAGATCTGTATATGCATTTTTGGATATGAGGTTATTAAGAAGTTTAAACTTGTGATAATGTTCAACAAAAGGTGACATTTTTCCGAAAACTGGGTTTAAGTTCACAAAAATCCTTTTTAAAAATTTTTGATCCATCATATTCAGTAACGGATACACAAAAACTTTTTTCAAGCCTTTATAACTAACTAAGAGGAAAAACTAGGGAAAATATTGAAAATTAGCGCGCAAGGACCATTCTAAATTTTAAATTAAAATAATATTATTTATTGTTTTAAAAAATTTTATTTAAAAAAATTGAAATTTTGATCATATATTTTATAAACGGATGCTATAATACGTATATGTATAAAATTTCCTGTTGAAAACACAAAAACTTAAAAAAACTAATTTTTAAAGTCCACCGTCCCCTTAAAAAATTGATAATTCATACTCTTAAATTCTTTTAAGTATATATAGCATCACAAAGGTAATAGCTTGCAAGTGCCTACACATTTTTATCTCCTGCCAACTTATATATATAAGTAAAGAAGGTAGTGTTTTTGTTCCTAAAATATGATCCTGAGTTTTCAGTGAATAAGCATAATTTGGAGAACTCAGAATCATGTCTTTTTGTCTGTGTGTCTGCTCATATGTGTGTGGAGACTTTTTCGCCTACGATAACCCTTATATGAAACCACCAAAAATTTAAATTTTACATATTTACATCTTTCTATAACATATAAAGAGGTGGTAAGATTTTGGGTAAAACTGGACAATCGGAAGGTTTACTTTACCTCCTGCCAACCTGTATAGATATATAGATTAATGGAGGTAATATATTTCGCCAAACATTCTATAGCGAGCTTCCAGTGAATAAGCACGCATCAAGATTTCCAAAACATGTTTCAATTATTTCTATAATTATGTTGTGTGTCTCTATGTGTGCGACGCTTCTTTCGTCTGCTTAAACTATTATATCAAATTTCCAAAAAGCTCCATTTTCTGTATTTATGTTTCCTATATTCATATAAAGAGTTGATATGATTTTTAATAAAACTATACAGAGAGAAGAAGTACTTTAAAGGAAGGGTGTAACAGTCATTAATGAAAAACCTATGTTAAAATATAACCGAAAACCTTTTAATTTTAGTATATGACATTTTTATATGAGTAGAAATGACATATTAGATTTTAGCTCAAATTGATGAACCAGAAGTGATATTTTTAAAGCTTTCAACACACTTTTGTAAAATTCTGTATCGTGAGATAATCATAAATATCTTAAATTTGGTATTTAAAATAGGTAGGTTATTAAAAATTATTACATTTATAAGCATTAAATGCATTCTTGGAATTTTGATAAACACAGCAAGATTAAGCTCAGTATGAAGAAAGTTGTTGCTGTGATATATATAGTCAAATGTATTAACCTCAATCCTCAATTCTGTGTTCGTTTCACATTTGTATCGAACCACATTTGAAGTAAAAAGATACTGCCACCAAATGTTATCGCCGGATTTTATTTTTAATGAAATAATACAGCAAATATAAATAACTGAAAAAAATGTAAAAAGAAATGTATGGTAACAAACACTCTATGAGGAATTCTAAAGACATGCTGCTTTTAAAAATTTAGGGACTGTTAAATGATTGATACATGAATCTGAACCAATATATGACCAGATGATCTACTACATACGATGAGATATTTTTAAATTAACCCATAAGACCTGATGTGTACATGAGTACCTATAGTTATCAATGTCCATTAAAAATAGATTAGACTTTAATATTGAGGCATAAAGTTTATCAACATATTACGTTTTATTTGCAAACGATGAATCGGAAAGAATTGTTTATTTAAAACTAGTTGCTTCCCAAATCCATGTTTTAACATGGAGTTGGCAGAAAGTGACATGCTGGCAACATCAAATGTTTTGTTTATGTATTAAGATTGCTAACTAATTCAGTGAAAGTCAAAATGCCATACGTATTTAAATTCAGTAAAAACATTATCTCTTTGGAGTAATGTTAGCAACAAAATCATTAAAATAAAACAGTTACTTACCTGTCCTAACCATAACGTCTCTGCTTCGAATTTTCCCAACTCTATTTGTTGCTGTACAGCGATACGTAGCAGCATGAACATCTTGTCGATATTTGCTGGTATCGATGGGAAAGAACACTAAAGAGTTATCAGGCCTCACTTGACGAATACCAGGAATTGTTGTGACCGTGCTTCCATCTTTCCTTTCCCAACGCATTGCTGGATCTGGCACACCTTGAGCAGTGCAGGTTATCACAGTGCCTGTCGAATTCGAAAACTCTACTATCTCTGGAGGTTCGTGCAAGAAGCGGGGACCACGGAACCTTCTAGTTGGTCTATCGCCATACACTGTGAAAAGAGAGTGATCGGAAATTAACTTCACAAAATATTATGTTACAATACATAATACGTTTTCACGACTGCTCTTAAATTCTTTTAAAATATCAAAAAATAGACGAGTTCCAAAGTAATATGACATTCTTAAACAATACTAATGTAAATAATAATCATCATAATGTTTGCCATTTGTTTGTACCTATTAGATTTAAAACTTTATACATTTTATCTAGAAACATACATTTTATCTGTGTCATCGAAACACATGTCAGATCATTTCAATACTCTAAGTATATATAAGATAAGAAATATGAAAGCAAACTTCTAAATTTAATCCACTATAACCTCTTTTATTTTCTATTTAATTTGGGAACTTCATCTATCTGTCCTAAAAATAGCGCTTAAGTCTAAACTGCGTCAGTCAAATTAATCATGCGATCTTACGTAACCCTTAATGCAGATGCCTCTTGGCCAATCACCAACTTACAAACCAAAACTTTTCTCTTCGCGTGCTTCCATCTTGCATAACTACGCACTTCAGCTTTGCTCTCTACTGTGCTAAGATGTAATTTCGCTGGCTTCCTTACTATCTCAACAATATAAAAAAATGTAAATCTTCTGTGTAAAGGCACGACTAGAGTACGAAGTAATCGTGGCCACAAATATCAATTGCAAAGAAAAATGGAATTAAAACTGCCTCGACTGCCAAGTTCTTTAGATATTACCAAATTAACATTATTAGCATACTATGTATATAAGTAATTATAGCGACTTTTTTTGCTGTAAAGTTTTTCTAATTGTTTATGTATTAACACAATCACTTAATTTTAAGATGTTATGACGCAAATAAAATAGTCTTCATATTTGATAACTTTTCGTAAAACCGCAACAAAGTCGGGTTATTAAAATGACTGTCATATTTTTAGTTCGTTTTTAACTTCAAATACTGCAGCACTTACATAGTTGTGTTTAAAAGGGTGATAGGGTTAAAATTTACTCTGATTTTTAGTCTCAGGATTTGCTTTGAAAGTCATATTTCGGACTAATATTTCTATGTGAGTATTATATATATATAAATATTTTGGATGAAACAATTCAATCAGAAATATATATTATGGATGATAGGACAAAATCAATATCGTACTTAAACAGATATAAGCATCAAATGAGATGAAGAAAAAGATTGCAATAAGTTCAATGCACAAAGGAATTAATTTACAATATCATTGAGTTCATATCAGAGAATTTGCCTCAGTGGGGGGGGGTGGATGGAAAGATGCAGACAGCAGAATGGTCAGCCCAATGTCAGTAGATTTCTTCCTTTGAAGCTGTTGTATAAATACTGTTGACATGTACGATATTTCACATTTCCACGTTTTGGAGCCATAAATCCAAAATATTCCAGTTTGAGTAAGCGCCTTTGCAGTCTACAAACATGCTTTGAAATTGTAGAATGAGTGATATTCTGAAATTTTTATATATGTATTTTTGAGGTATATAGATTTTGCTTTTAGCTATATCTTTCGTGTTTGGAGCCATATTCTCTTGACTATTATAGAAATACTTCTGAATTATATGATAATTTTAAATCATATATTTTATTAATATTTAAATAATGTACGAGTACTTTATTAACATATTTCATCTACATTTTATATGTAGAAATTTCATTACATTTATCACAATTTTGAAGAAATTTTCTAAAAATCTTCAAAAGCTATATCAAGAAAATGGTAATATATTTTTATCTCATTTTATTTTATGCTTTCTAAAAATGAATGCTTACATAAGTAAGTTCTCAATTTAAATCCAGATGTTGTTTGATGGAAATTAAATGTAATAATTTATTGACAAATTACGCAAATTTTTAATGGCAACTGATATAAAATTACTTGCTAATGTTTCTTTCAAATTTTAATATCTTATTACCCTAGATGTTATGAATATGCATCTATCTGCATTATCTATACAAATGGGAATCCGTAAATGCACTGCTGGCTATTAAACTTCCTGTGCTATGAAACCGGTATGTAACAAACATCAGATTTGCGCGAAAGGTATTATATGCTTGCAAATGAGTAGAATTGATGCGCATGCTCACAAAGCAGATATGAGTAACATCATGTGTATAATGTATACTAAATTGAAAGACTGCACATTTTATTTCGCATTTGCGAATCGCATTTCATTGTTCTTTATTCATGTAAAGGCAGTGTTTATGTTTGACAGGAGTCTTTTATTTGCAAATATCGACATTACACTGACTAACTGTATTGGGAACAATTAATTGCTTATGCCAATCATATAAGAAACTACGAGACCAGGTATGTCTAACTACAACTATCGGAGACAACACGAACCGACTTTCTGCCACAGTGGCGGGTCTAAGATGTGATTGGATGCTCTCCTGTCGCCCCTTGCATATAGACACACAGCTGTGTCACAGTAGTGTCAATGATCTCAAGCCTTGTACTTTACCCATCTTTCCCAAATAGCTGTCATGGACACAATGGATAACAGCCCGGTTCCTCATGGGCGGAGTCTGAAGCCCCTACTCAGGATCATGGCTTATCGGGACTCCAATTTAGCTTTCTGGAATACTGTTGCTCCTGTTAGTCGGGATTCTGTGACTGTCCAGCAATATAGAATCTATGAGTTCATAAGGTACGATGGGTTCTGCTTTGTGCAGCCCCATCAGGTGCAGTGATTCAGGAACTTGACTCGTATGCAGGACAGGCAGTGCGACGAATTCTGCAGCATCACGAACTGCCAGCACAGCAACCAGTATCGCTAGCTCACTTGACGCTATAGCAGAGACTGGTACGCCGACAATGGTGCAGAGTAAAACGGCATAGGATACATGAGTGGCACGTTTTCATGTTTTCAGACGAATATTGGTTGTGCTACTGCAACATGATGGATGTATCTATGTGCGTAGTCACAAAAGAGATCGAATGTTTGTAGTTTGTATCCATCATTGTCATATGTACTCAGACATTTGGCGTGCTGATATGTGGTGCCGTGAAGGACATATCCCGGTCACCTCTAATTAGCATAACAGATAACATAGACAGCCGCTGTTAAATTTCTGATGTGTTATGAATCGTGGCTGTATCCTATCTTCGAGACAAGCTTGACGCCATCTTTCAATAAGATAATGCATGATCGCAATTTAACCTTGCTGTTCTAAATTTTCTTGACAGAAAATGTATATTGTTGCCCTGTCCAACACGCTGCGTAACTCCCACTCACTGAGGAAATTTGGCCATGGATAGCCGACTGGCATGCCAGCCGTCGCCAGCCACTACAATTGATGAGCTTCGACATAAAGCCGCATGGAATGAAGTTTCGAAACCGTGTAGTTGAACTGTGTCTGGATGCCTTTCTAGCTTAGTTTGAATCGATGCGTAGCCGTATTGCAGCCGATGTTACTGCCAGAGGTGACAACTCTGTATATGTGTGTGTACAAGCTGGGTATTCCAATCTACAAATTTAATCAGATCTACCTCCCAATCTATTTGTTTTCCTTCCTGCTATAGCAATTTTAATGACCAGCGGCATATGAAAGTTCTAGAGATATATGAATTGGAAATTAGAAATTAAAAATTTAATTACAATTCATGTAATCAGAAAATTCTCTAAATTGTTAAATTTTTCTCATAGTTTCTTCAAGGATTCATTTTTTGTGGATTAAAAAAGAAAATTGATTTTTATTGAGATTTCAAAAATAAAATTATCGTTTCAAGAAAACGTTTTGAAGAAAACTTTCGAGCCATTTGGATACAATTTAATTATTTTATTTAAATATTAAAATCAAAGTGCCAAAAAGATCTAATTCTAAGCCAAAAGACATTAAAATGTGCATTTGAAGTAGGTCATTATTTTAATATAGATAAAAGTTATCGAAAAGTAAGGTCATAAGTGTGTTTGAATATAATACAGATACACAAATACAAGCTAAGTTTCTAATGAAACGAGTGCATTATTTTTTTCCAGTTTTGTCAAGATTGAGAGCAAAAGTTTGCATTTTTTTCCTAAATATGGATATAAATATGTTTAAATTTTAATTCAAGAAAAAATATTAAGCAATGTTTTCTATATTACATTAATTAACTACTAAGAATTTTTCGAAACAATAATGGGAACACGTAAATATTTTGTGAGACAGACTTTAGTAATGTGCACAAGAGTTGTCAACTTAGTCTCTCATTAAATTTAAGAAGCAGGAGAAAACTCTTAAAACTTTCGTGATAGGAATTTCCCAATTAAAAGACAAGACATTTGTGATGCATTGTACAGAAAGTATACGGACATTTATTCCAAGCAATTTATGTAATTTAATTTTGTTCTCAAAAATGAAGAATCTGATACTGGAACTGCTAGGATGTTTAAGATATAAATGACGGTATTTATGTGCTTTACGAATGGGAAATTTCCCAATTAGTTCCGCGTTGTCACGCGAGAGTAATTACAACTTAAATTTATATAGCTCGCAGCCAAAAACAGGGCATAAACGGATGTTAATGAACCTACAGTGTAATAAACGTAGAAGTTATAATGAATGTCGCGAATGGTGCTCGTTTTCGTCAGGACATTAAAAGTCGCCATTTATGGTTTATCGTAACTTTGTAAATATGTCTGGGAATTAAAACGTACGAATTTTTAAACTATATAGCACATTTTGCAGTTTCGAAATTTGTGCTTCCTGGTACTTCATAATTCTAAACTTATTTGATTTCAGAAAACTGTACTTCACTGTGTAATCAAATTCTAAACTGAAACTGGTATTAGCAATCACCTCTATGCCATTACTGAAATTCAGTAGAAAAGTCATGTAAATAAAAAATGTGTTATTTGTATATAACATTATTCAACACATAACTCAAATTTTCAAGAATACTTTTAGACGATTCAAAATAAGCGTATAAAATTGAAATAACGTTAAAAAAAAAAAAAATCTGCATTACAGAAATAAAACTATATGTTAACACGTTGACATTTTCAGTAAATTT